TTCCACTATCTCTGTAGTACTTTCAGGTTTTTTGAGATTTCTCTGTTTGGATCTCTGGTCAGAAACCACCTGCTTCCACAATTGTTCCACGTCTAGTACCAGTTGGTGGAAGAGTAGATGGGGGAAAGACTGATAAAAGGCTTTGGATCATGCTGCCTTAACTTCATCATATGAAGAAGTTTCTTTTCCTTTAGGGTTCTGGCTCCTGTGGGCTCCTGTTGGTAGCCACTGTTGGTGCTACCATTGCTATGGGAGATCTTGGAGTCTGTGACATGAGAGATTGGAGAAAATGGATTGAACTCTCCCACCTCCATGAATTACCCCCAAGATTTTCTCTGAACTTTTAGTTTAGTTTTTTTTTTTTTTTCTGACTCCTTCAGCCAGAAATGGGATTCTTCTGCATCTTTCTCTGTCTGCATGAGAGTGTTCACTTTGAGGTTTGAGGCTACATTTGATTCAGGCTAGAGAGATATTGGAGGTAAAAGAAACGCAGACTTGGTGGTGTGTGAATTATAGTTTTCTTCCCCATTCTACTTTTTTCTCAGGTAGCCGCACTACTTGATCCTCAAGTAGCTGCATTATCCATTCTGTCCAGGTTTTTATAGTGGTCAGTTGGAGAAAAAAGCTATTGTGTGTCTATTCCATCTTACCTAGAACTGGACCCCTGCTACATTTCGAGAATATACTGGATATAAGCCCTTTATTAAATAATGATCTACAAATATTTCCCCTGGTTTGTGGCTTATCATTTCATTCTCTTAAAAGTGTCTTTTATTTATTTTTTTAAAGATTTATTTATTTTTATTTTGAGAGAGTGAGAATGAGAGAGAGAGAGAGTACATGAGAGGTGGGAGGGTTAGAGGGAGAAGCAGGCTCCTCGCCAAGCAGGGAGCCCAATGCGGGACTCGATCCTGGGACTCCAGGATCATGACCTGAGCCGAAGGCAATCGCTTAACCAACTGAGCCACCCAGGCGCCCTTAAAAGTGTCTTTTAAAGAGCAAAAATGCTAATTTGATGAAGTACAGTGTATCTTTTTTTAATATTTTTACTTTTGAGATCAGATCTAAGATATCTTTGCCTAATGCAAGGTCACAAAGGCTTTTTTTCTATGCTTTATTCTAGAAGTTTTATAGTGTGAACTTTTACATTTATGTCTAGGATCCATCTTGAATTTTGTATATGGAATGAGATATAGACTTAAGTTCCATTTATTTGGATATGGATGTCAAAATGTTTCAGCACCCTTTACTGTAAAAACTACTATTTCTCCACTGACTGCCTTTATACCTTTGTAAAAAAAAAAATTAGTTTCCATATGTATGTATGTATATATGGTTCTATTTCTGGACTCTGTTCTATTCCATTATTATATCTGTCTTTTGTGGTAAAATATGCATAATATTTATCATCTAAGCTATTTATAAGTGTATAATTCAGTGACATTAAGTACATTCACAATGTTGTATAATCATCACCATTACCTATATCCAAAACTTTATCATCCTCAACATAAACTCTTTATCTATTAAACAATAACTCTCAAATTATCTCTTCCTCCCAGCCCCTGGTACCCTCTATTCTACTTTCTCTCTATATGAATTTGCCTGTTCCAAGTACTTCGTATAAGTGGACTCATACAATATTTGTCCTTCTATGCCTGGATTATTTCCTTTAGCATAATGTTTTCAGAGTACATCATGTTGTAGAAATACAAAAATTCCATTCCTTTTTATGGCTGAATACTGTTCCATTATATGCATATACTTGGAGATAGTTGAGTTTCTTGGATTTGTAGATTGATGCCTTTCATCAAAATTGGGCCATTTTCAGCCATTATTTCTTCAAATATTCTTTCTGTCCCTTTCCCTCTTTCCTTGCCTTCTAGGACTCCCACAATTCATATGTTGATCCATTTGGTGGTGTCCCTCAGGTCCCTCAGATTCTCTTCATTTGTCTTTTTTTAAATTTTTTGCTTCTGTTCAATTCAGGCTAATCCCCAACACAGAGACACCCCTTAACAATCAAAAACAAAACTAAAGCAAAACAAAAAGAAAAAAACTTCTTTTTTCTCTCTGCTCAAATCTGCTTTTGAACCGCCTCCAGTGAATTTTTCATTTCAGTTATTGTAGCTTTCAGCCTCAGAATTTCTTTTGGTTCCTTTTTATAATGTATTTCTCTTTATTGATATTCTTATTTCATTCATGCATTGTTTTCCTTTGTCCCTGTCTTCCTTTAGTTCTTTGAGTCTCGTAAAAAGACAGTTTTAATGGGGAAATCGGAGAGGGAAATGAACCATGAGAGACTGTGGACTCTGAAAAACAAACAGGGTTCTAGAGGGGAGGGGGGTGGGGGGATGGGGGATGGGTTGGCCTGGTGGTGGGTATTAAGGAGGGCACGTTCTGCATGGAGCACTGGGTGTTATGAGCAAACAATGAATCATGGAATACTACATCAAAAACTAATGATGTATGGTGATTAACATAATGTAATAATAAAAAAAATCATCTGCTTATCTCTGGAAAAAAAAAGACAGTTTTAAAAAAGTCTTTGGTAATCTCAGTGTTGGGGCTTTCTCAGGGTCAGTGTCAATTAATTTTGTTCCTTTGGATGGTCCATACATTTCTTTTTCTTTGTATGCCTGTGATTTTTTTGTTATTTGAAAACTGGACATTTGAATCTTTTAATGTGTTAACTCTGGAAATCAGATTTTCTTCCTTCCCCCGAATTTCCTGTTTTTTTTCCTTTTTGTTTTGTTTTGCTTCGGTTTTGTTTTTGATTGTTAAAGGGTGTCTCTGTGTTGGGGATTAGCCTGAGTTGAAAGCTCAAGGTCTCCTCAGGTCTCTTTGAGCCAGTGTCCTTCCTTGGGCGTGTGTGATGGTGGCTTTCTAAATTCTTCTCTATGTTTATTTGCTTTTGAGTGACCTAATCCTCAAATGTGTGACTCCCAAAACAAGGGAAAGGGTAGGGAAGAAACCCAAACATATGTCATTCCTTCAAATGCTCTGGAAGCAGCTGCAGTCAATAGGGGTTGAAACAATGGTGGCCAGAAACTGCTAGCCAAGATTTCCCCTGAAAGCTGCAAGCATTTAAATAATGAGAGCTCCAAGATAGTTAATACAGTTCCTGCCAGTACAGTTGTTGTGTAGCTAGAGAAAGGAATTCCTGGTGCTTCCTACTCCTCCAGCTTCTCTGAGGTTACTCTCATATAATCTTTTATAAAGTTCTTTCTCAGCTGTCCTGAAAGGAACCAAGGGAGGAAGTATTCACTCCTGGGCCAGTGCTTTAGAGACCAGAAGAGTGTTCCTTAGATCAGACTAATGAGGCAGTGGGAAAAACCCGCCCCCCCCCCACAAGAATATGGAAAATCAGAAAGATAAAATGTAGACTACCTGGGCAACCATGTTGCCTCACTTGAAGATGGACTTCCAGGACCAAAATCCTGGTGTATCTGGGTCCTGTTTCCCTTAAGATGAGTCCCCCTTTTCCAGGACCGAGGAGTCTCTATTTTGGTCTGTCTTCAGTTGCATGCAGACTACAATTTGGGGCTCGAATATTGAAGGCAACCTTTTCCTAACCCTTGGGAGTGTTCCTTTGTCAAATGCACTTAAAATGAATACAAAGAGATCCCAGTTCTCCAGGGATTGGCAGTTAGATTGAGCAGCTGCCCTTAAATAACATACCTTTAAGTAGAGTGTATGGTCTTCTATTAATGGTGTTCAGTATATTCTGCCTTGATCCTAGAGAGCAGCAATTTTATTGCTTTTTGCCTTTCAGCACATCTGTACCCAGCACATATTTGTTGAATTAATGCATTGGGTGGAACAGGTGGATAGGTTCTCTGTAAGGATTTACTGTGAGGACCCTCATTTGCACCTAATAATCACATATGCAAATATATGTATGAACTTCTGTAGACTTAAGTATAAGTAGTCCCTAGACAGTGATTCTCAAACCTTGCTACTCATCAGAATCTCCTGAAGAACTTTCCCCAAACCCTAATTCCTATGTTTTAACCATAGAGATTGTTTTAATAAGTCAGGGGTGGGAGCCAGGAATATGTAGTTTTCAAAAAAACTACCTGCGTTATTCTGATAGGCAGCCAGAGTAGAGGGCCACAAACCTTTGACTGCCTAAGACAATCTAGTAGTCACAGTAGAGGATATAAAGTGCTTTCTATTATTTAGGGAGATTCTGGGTTAGACATTATAGCATACAGTCAAGAGCAGTAGTTTTGGAGTGTGGAGATTGTATTCCATTCTCAGCATAGTCACTTCCAAGCTGTTAGCCTTAGACAAACTAATCTTTCTGGGCTTTGGGTTTTTTGGTTTTTGTTTTTAATAGAATAGGGACTTTAGGGTTACCATTAGAATTTATGTAAAGCCTTCCTTAGCACGATACCTCTATTACAGCACACAATAAATGTTGGTCAGATTTATTCTCGTGTACACACTTGCTACTGGATTAGTTCGTATGCAGAATATACTGAAGTACACCTTCTCCAGTCAGTTCTTTAGGAAACTGGTGGGGGGTGGGTGCCAGTTTTCTGGTACCCCAGCCAAGTGAAAGTCAAAAGCCAACCAAAAATGAGGAGTACTATTGGTACTGGTTGTTTTCCGGGCTCCAAGTGCTGTGCTGCACATTGTCCACCAGGGGCCGCTGAAGCCACCTAAGCTCAGAGCGCAAAGTAGCGGAGGCCTCCGCGCGTGCTCACTGGGTGCTGCGCGCGCCTCTGAACCCCCTGCGCCACTTTAGATTTCGCCTGTTTTCCTGGTGGCTTCCCCAAACCAAACCTCTGTGGCTGAGTACGGCAGCGCTTTGGGGACAAAAATCTTTCTCTTCCCTGGGCTCGGCCTTGTACTTAATCGTTCCGTGGTTAAATCGGGCGGCAAGTATTTGTGTCTCCCTTGCGCTGCTATCCAGGAGGTAGGGGGAGGCTGAGCCCGGCGTTGAGTTCGGGCTGACTGGGGCTTGGGCCCAGCGGGTCGGTGCTGCTGCGCGGATGTTGCGATGGCTGATCGGGGGAGGCCGAGAACCTCAGGGACTGGCGGAGGTAAACACCCAGGCGACCCTGCCTGCCCCCCGCAGAGGCCGAGCTTGCCCGAGCGGTGGCTTCGGTCTGAGCCCTGCTCCGGGTCCAGACGCTGGAGCCCCATGCAGAGGCGGGGCCTGTGGGTTTGGAGGCCGTCGAGGGCGTGTTTGGCGTGCGGGGGAGGGGGGATTGGCGTGGATGGGGACGCTCTGACTGTAGCTAGTGGGAACTCCTGATTCCCCTAAGACCTCGAGAATTAAATATCCCCTTTTCAGGGCGCCTGGGTGGCTCAGTTCGTTAAGCGACTGCCTTCGGCTCAGGTCATGATCCTGGAGTCCCGGGATCGAGTCCCACATCGGGCTCCCTGCTCAGCAGGGAGTCTGCTTCTCCCTCTGACCCTCTTCCCTCTCGTGCTCTCTCATTCTCTCTCTCTCTCTCAAATAAATAAATAAAATCTTAAAAATAAAAATAATATATCCCCTTTTCAAAAGGAGGAAACTGAAGCTGATATGATTCAACAACAGGTTCAACAACTAGTCTTCTCCGTACTTAAACTAGCTTCATTTCAATTATAAAATTATCTGACTTAACTAAGAAGCAAACTTTGCAACTTTCTAGTTTATTAGAATTGGTGTCACTTCCTAACATCAACTGATGCTTGCTCAGGGAATAGAAAATCTATTTCATTATTTATTCAACAACAACAAATTATAAAATTATTTAAAAAAATTAATTTGCTTCAAAGTCAAGAAAATTTTTTGTTAACTCCTATTTTTGGTTCCATAGTCACGCTTTCGTCATGGGCCTGAATAATTGGATTGACTGTAATTTGCATTTGAAGTGTTGAGAATAAAATAATTTTAGAATCTTAAAAGGATTGAGGTCTGGAATTTATTTCGGTTGCCACCCGAGAATTAGAGTTTGTATTTGGATTCCCTTTTATTTATCATAGGAAATAGTTGTTTTGATTGTGTAAAAAGTTGGGGTTGTAAGTCAGCAGCCTTACTTCTCACTTTCAACTTCCTCATACCTTTGCAGTTGAGGCTTACTGGCTATTAAAAAAAAATATTTCAGGGCGCCTGGGTGGCTCAGTTCGTTAAGCGACTGCCTTCGGCTCATGTCATGATCCTGGAGTCCCGGGATCGAGTCCCGCATCGGGCTCCCTGCTCAGCGGGGAGTCTGCTTCTTCCTCTGACCCTCTTCCCTCTCGTGCTATCTCTCATTCTCTCTCTCTCAAATAAATAAATAAATCTTAAAAAAAAAATATTTCAAATCAGGTTCATTTCAGATAGGCTGAAATCTTAAACGTTAGGGAATAGTTGTAGATAATTATATATGTGACATGATAATTCTGTATTAACCCGATTATTTGATTAATCATATAATTTCATTATCTAATTCTGCCATGCCTGGTAAACTTTCATTTGAGGGAAGTGGTATACAGTTTTCAAATTTCTCACTTTTGCTTTTCTTTTCAGAACCACTGCTAGAAATGAGATGGTATAAAAAGCACCCACTGCTTTGGGGGTGATTTTTTTGGAGAAAACATTTATGCATGTTAGGTTACACATTTTTCATGTTAAAGTACTTCACTTGTATAACCATTGTGAATTGTACTTTGTCAGAACCAATGATTTTCCTTAATTTATGCAAGAACTGCTTCTAGTTTTAGCAGTATTTCTCTGCTGGGATGATTTTGCCCTTAGGGCATATTTGGCTATGTCTGGAAACATTTTTGATTTTCAGGATGGGGGAGATTAGATTTCTGTTGCATCTAGTATGTGGAAACTAGAGATACTGTTGAATATTCTACACAGGATAGTCCTCAACAGCAAAGAATTACCTGGTCCAAAATCTCAATAATGGCAAGTTTGAGAAATTTATCATGAAATAGTACTGGGTTTGACTATAGAAAGGGGTTAGTAAGAGCTACTTTACGGCGGAATAGTTGAGTGAATTATATGCCATATGTGCTTTGCACAGTGTCTGGCATATGGGCTGTGACCTAATTCTCTGTAAATGTTAGCAATTATCTTTATCAGTATTTTTGTCCAAACTTGAATTTATTGAATTTATCAGCTCTGAAAGATTTCATTCCTTCTTTTATTCAGTCAGCGATCATGTATTGAGTGCCTATAATGGTTTGGGCACTGTTTTAATCTGTATTTTGACCTTTTGACCTGCAGTTTTGTTTCTGTCAAGTTTTAATTGAGAAACACTCATTCTAAATACTGAATTGGATTGGCCCATTGATTTTTTTAGGTCAGGTTTATTGAGGTATAATTTCTTAACATAAAATTCACCTTTCTGCAAATTTATGGTGACTTGAAAAAACTAAAATTTATGGCAAGGGTGAGATTTTCCCCTCTTACATTGTTTTTAGTTAACAATCTGAAGAATGACGATCTGAGTTTAAGGATATTTAGATCAGTTCTAACATGATGTGGATTTGTAGTAAGAAAAATGTATCTTAAATTGGTAGTTAATTGATATTAGGGGAAATAGTGTATAGTATTAGAACATGGTATCTTACAGCTCTTTAAATCTTGTATTCTTAGACGTATACCATGCAGTTTTATTTCAGTATGGTCTTTTATCATAAATCATTTAACCTCTTTCTCTTTTGTTTTTCTTTTCTTTTTTTCCCCAATGCAAGAAATCTCCTTTACAGACAATAGGTGAAGAACAAACCCAGAATCCCTACACTGAACTGCTTGTACTGAAAGCTCATCATGATATTGTACGATTTCTGGTGCAGTTAGATGAATACAGGTAAGAAGCTCTAGTTGTCCAATTGCCTACTGTTTGGAAAGAATTTTTAGGGAATCATATATTTAAAAACAACTTCATAATTAATATCTTTTGTAAAAATTTCAAATCTGATCATTACTAACATTTATTAAAAATCGACATCTGCATCTTGATCAAATATGTGCCAAAGTCATTTTTTGCCCAGAAGTCAGGGTGTCATATCTGGTGACTTGATGGTGATTCTTGTTTGAGGTTTTTTTGTTTTTTGTTGTTAGTGCTTAGAAATGTTTTTTTGTTAGTTTTGAGGAAGGAAATGACTTTAAAATTTGAGTGGGAGTTATGTTAAGGTGAACATAAATTTCAGAAACAAATATAGGGAATGTTTAACATGTTTAACTATGAAGTACCTATTAGGAATTTTAGTGGAAGCTACGGTAAGTAATCTGAATGTTTTGTTATTGAGGAAATCCTTTTAAAATGTGCATTATTTACTTTCTTGTCAACATGTTCAGTGTTGTGTTTAATTGCAAGTAGAGATGAGGTATGTAGGTCTTAGGACTGTAGATTTAGCTTATTACTGATCTTTATATCTGTTTATTAAGCCCTTATTCAACTAAATGCTTAGTAGCATGTAGCATAAAAACAGTTAATTTTGTAACTGTTTAATATTTATCTTCTCTAGAATCTAAACTTCATGGGGGAGGCATGTTTTTCTTATTCACCATAGTATCCTTAGTACCTGGCACAGTGCCTTACATGTAGCAGGTAATTAATAGATAGTTCTTGAATGAGTGACTCCCCAGACTATTAAGTGTGCGTGTTGCATGCCATCCTAACTCCCTAACCCCCTGTTTTCCCTATCAATTTTCCCATTCTCATCTCTAATTTTCTCTTTTACCTTTGATAACCATCTTTTTTTTTTTTTTTTTCACTTTTGACTCCATGGGTGACTGCTCTTGTGATTATTCCTAATTCTGACCATCACTTCTAATGTCTATTAACCTTGTTTTCTCTCTGCTTTTTTTTTTTATGTCTTTGGTATTGCTTTTACCATGTGCAGTGCAAGTGTGACACCACCTGGAGTTAGGTCAGATTTTACAGGTTAGGGGCATAGTCCTGCACAGCACTTCCCTCTCCTCAGTCACCAGCTGCAGTCTCCAGGGGTGCCAGGCCACCCCCACTTCTGACCAGCTGGCCCTCAGGTTTGATACTTACTAGAAGCACTGACAGAACTCAGGAAAGCAGTATTCTTAGGATTCCAATTTTATAAAGGATATAGTCAGGAATAGCCAAGTGCAGAGTTGCTTAGGACCAGGTCTAGGAAGGCCTCAAATGCAAAGCTTCTGTGTCCTTAGAACATGTCACCCTTTCAGCACATCAGTGTGTGTTACCATCAAGGAAGCTCACTCAAGCTCTGGGTATCCAGAGTTTTTATTGGGGTTCATTACTAGGAATGATTGAGTCATTTGCCGCCTGATAGAACTCAATTTCCAGCCCTTCTCTCCCTGCCCTGTCCCCACACTCCAATGCCAGGTTGAGAAGTCAGGCTAATATCTGTGGCTCAAAGCACAACCCTCTAATTACGTGGTTCATATTTACTACATGGCCAGACCCTATCCTTAGATTGTCTAGAGGGCCCACCCTGAATCATTTCGGGGTCTGGGGAGCCCAGCTCCATTCTAGAAACCAGGGACACAATCCAGCCAAATTATTTTACAACAATATGTTCCTCAGCTTTTGCTTGAGAAGATTCGTTTCTTATATATATTACTAGCCTATCAACATTGTTTTGTTGTGATATGAGCCAGCCAAATAATAACATGTAAACAATAGTATAATAATCTTCAGACTTTTTGGTAGTATTCATTGTTGATATGTTCTGAGACATTGTTTATTTAGCCAGCCAGTCAGTCAGATCTTTGAAACTAAACATTTCTGGAAATATAGGATATTTGGACAGCTAGAGTTTTTTGTTATTTTACCATATTAAGTTGCTAGGTGGGTTTTAAAAAACCCAAATGATTTCTTAGGCCATAATCACTAATATTTGGGTCTTAAGGAATCCTCAGATCATGTTGTCTGAGAAAGTTAAATAAAAAATATACAGTGTACTTTCAGGATGCAGTCTTTAAATTTTTATATAGAATAACTGTTAAGATTCCATTTTCATTGTTATTCATCCTGTGAAATGTCCTGTTGGCTCTTATTACATAGAAGAATCTGCAGAAAAGCCCATCTCGTAGAATAATGATAATTGTGCAAATGCTGATATTTGATTACATGTTCCCCACAGTAATGCTCCTGTATAAATCAGTTGTTTAATGAGGTAGTAAATGTTCTGTAAACAGTAAAAAATTATAGACAAATATATCAGTTCTCTATTGCTCTCTCAAATACCACCCCAAACTTAGCAGTTTCAAACAACCTGCTATTTACTTAACTCACTAACTGCAGGTAGCTACTGAGGGAGGCTCAGCTGGGTGGGGTATTTTTTTTTCCATCTGTGCCCGGATCAGCTGATCTTGTTTAGGTTTACTTAATGCATGTCTGGTCAACAGATAGATTGGCTGGGCTGGATGGTTCATATTGGCCTCAGCTGGGATGACTGGGCTTTCTCTCTGTATGGTTGCTCAAGTGCTTGTGCACATAGTGATAATGGAGTTCTGATATGAGCCCTGATGTAAAACTCTTCCCAAGACTCTCTATCATGTTTGCTGCTGTTTCATTAGCCAGAGTGAGTCAGGAGCTTGCACAGATTCAGTACCTGGATAAATAAACTCTACCTCTGGAGGGGAGAAGCGACTAAGGCCTGTTGCTAATGCTGGTGGACATAGGAAGGGAGGATAATTTGTGGCGATGTTTGTTACCGATCACAGGGAATCTGAATGCCTAGAAATAGGTGAAAAACCTACATTTTGGCTTTTGCAATAAAGTGAAGATTTTACTACATGAGTCACATTTAATTCTTTGTGCTCAAGTCGTTACTGTGTCAAAATTCACATCTAGTTAGATACAAGGTTTTCCTGTCAAGTGAAAGACCTGTAGAAGTTTCAATGTGTGTTTGTTTTAAAAAATTTAATTCTGCCCTGAAAAACCCTGAAGGAGTCACTACTGGTAAGGAAGATATAAGAAATCTACAAACTATATAAATACTTACTTAAATAGAATTAAGAGCATGGCATTTTCATTCTTAATTTAGTAGTTTAGATAATTTAGACTTATCTTTCCCATTGCTAATGTACACTATTTGTGTATGGTCACATTAGAGAAATATATATTATACTTTTTATGTTTTTATTTAATTTTTGCGGACCTTACATTCTGGTTTTTTGGTCAGCTGTTGTAATCCAGGTTTCACGCTTCAGGTCTTTAGATAATATCATTTTATTGAGAATTTTGCAGAAGGATTTTCTTGTTTTCTTGGCGGCTCAGCTAAAATCAGTGAGTGGAAAATTTTCACAGATTGGTTTTTGAAGATACAAAATAAATCCTGTATAACCTAACAGACAGCTGCCTTTTCTTTTCTTCTTTAGTGTTTTTTGAACATGAAGTGAGGGTCATATTGATTGGGAGATCACTAGAGAAGGCTAAGCCTCAGCAAGAGTCTTCCAAAAAAATGGACTGTGCTAAAATTGCATGTAATACTCTAGCATTTGACACATTAAACTAAATGGAGTTCATAACACATTTTAAGAATAGTTTTCTTTGTTGCTTATTTGACCATTCCTTGCTCCTCCAGGAAACAGACAAGGTTATGTAGGATGGTGATCATGACTGGAAAAAAATTAGGTGACCCATGAAATGCCAGACTGGAGAACAGAATGTGCCCCTAGGATAGCTGGTCCAGCTGTACATTTACAAGACACTAAACAAATTCATCCAGTTGGATAATTCACTAACAACAAACATTATGTTATATCTTTAAGGAAATATTCTTTTTTTTTTTTTAAGATTTTATTTATTTGACAGAGAGCACAAGCAGGGGAATCAGTAGGCAGAGGGAGAGGGAGAAGCGGGCTCCCCCACTGAACAGAGAGCCCAATGCAGGGCTCGATCCCAGGACCCTGGGATCATGACCTGAGCTGAAGGCAGCCGCTTAACTGACTGAGCCACCCAGGCACCCCATTTAAGGAAATATTCTTAAGCTAAAATTATCTTTCTCACTGACATTCGGAGAATAGAAATCAGTAGTCAAGGTGATTTAGACCCTTTTCATACCTGAGTTCCCTGCAAAGCAGATAGGAAAATGGAATTAAACACACAAGTGGTTTATTAGAAACATCAATGAAAGGAAAAGGGAGGAAGCAGGATTAGACAAGGGGAGCTATCTCAGACTGTGGTGTGGATCTGACAGTCTCTCTAGGCCCAGTGGGGAACTCTGGAGGAAAGAATGCTCTTTAGAGGAATTCTGTGTTGGATAGAAACAAATGGGACTTTTAACCCTGCCTTGCTTAGTCACTGGCTGAGGGTCATCCAGGAACGTACTTAATTTCCTCTGGCTGGGAGCCAACTGAGATGGTTATGACTTTGGCTTGAAAGCTGAAATGGACCCTAAAGTGAACAGCTGGAGGCAGGTAACCACATTCTTTTTTTAAAGATTTTATTTATTTTTTGACAGACAGCGAGAGAGGGAACACAAGCAGGGGGAGAGGGAGAGGGAGAAGCAGGCTCCCCGCAGAGCAGGGAGCCCGATGTGGGACTCCATCCCAGGACCCTGAGGATCATGACCTGAGCCGAAGGCAGATGCTTAACGACTGAGCCACCCAGGCGCCCGGTAACCACATTCTTGAGAGCTGGGCAGCTTCGTCTCTTGAAGGGCTATCTGCAAGATGTATATTGCCTTTCCTATACAAACTGTATCTTGGGATCAGTAATAATCAATGAGAGGAAATTTCTCTTTATAGAAGAATTAAAGCTAGGAAGGATCATGAAATTGGAATAATGTAATTTTGCAACCTCTGATAACAAATTTAGACAGTTTATTGATGGTTGTTAATATCACATGCTCATAAAAGACTACC